GGTGGCACAGTGGTTAAGAGCTCAGTTTGTAAACACAAGGTCAGCAGTTTGAATCTACCAGCCACTCCTTGGAAACCCTGTGGACCAGTTCAACTCTTTCCTATAGGGTCTTTATGAGTGGAAATTGACTTGACGGCAACGGGTTTGATTTTTGGTTTTTTGGTATAAGTGTAGCGGAATGGTCACAATTGAGACCACTTAAAGACATTTACTGCAAGGGAAAGGGGTTCTTATGGGAGTTTAAAAAATTAGGAGGATTTGCATTTTAGTTTTGGGGCTTTAAAATTTTTGGATTTAATATATTAAAAAAGACACATACAGCATTTCCCATTCCCCTCAAAAAAATCTGTTACTGAATTTAATCAGGAACTTCCTTAGACATTTCCTTATTCATTTTTAGACTTCATGCTTTTTTTCCTTTCAAATGTTGATGACCTTCATCTTCCTTAAGTGTTTAGTACATGCAATCATAAAACAGTGATGTCGAATCTCAGTTTAGTTTTCAATCATCTTATTTATCATTAGTTCTTTAAGTTCCCACTCTCAATTCTTAGTAGTTGCCTCTTAATGGGAAAATCCTTAAAATTGAAACTAAAATATTTTCTAATTTTCCTGATAACTGTTAGCACATTAATGACATGGAGAGACTTGACTACAGCTTTGGCTTGATAACTTACTTTTTAAGGCTCTAGCAAAAGGGACAGTCAAAAGTAATTTTAAATGGAAGCTTTATTTTTAAGAGGTTTTGTTTTGTTGGTTGAAACAGTTTGAGTCCTTGTGCTCTCAAGCAGCAAAAGTAGAGGTGCAGGGAGTGACAAGGGGCAATGAAGCCAAGGGTGATCTCAACTCCCGGGTTCCCAGAGAGACACTGCTTGTCATGCTGGGCTCACTGGCCTTTTTGGGCACACTCTGCCCCTTTCTACTCTACTGACATTCCCCTACTCTTAAATATGTTGAACAAGAAGGCAAAAAAATTGGCAAGAAACCATTGTTTGCTGACCTGAAACCGTACTTCAGTATTACCTGGGGCATTTTTAAGTGCTCAACTGCTAACCAGAAGGTCACGGTTCAACCCACCAGCTACTCTTCAGGAGAAAATACTTGGTGATCTGCTCCCATAAAAGATTATAGCCTAGGAAACCCTATGGGACAGTTCTACTCTATTACATAGGGTGGCTGTAAGTAGAAATAATGGCATATACCAACAACATTTTTTTAATCTACATGGCATAGTAGTTAAGAGCTTAGTTGTTAACCAAAGGGTCTGCAGTATGAATCCAACGGCCACTCCTTGGAAACCCTACGGGGCAGTTCTACTCTGTCCTGTAGGGTCACTATGAGTCGAAATTGACTCAACAGCAATGTTTTTTTTGTTTTTTTGTTTTTTTTCTGGTATATATATACGCACACACATGCATATATATATAGTGAAACCTGTGAGAGCCGGAACTTGACAGGCCTGCCTTGTTTTTCCAGGTCTCACAAGTTTTCCGCCTTTGACAGGGTGCAGTCACCACTTTTCTATTACTCTTCATTTAGTGGAAAATATTTGAGTTTTCCTTCTCTGACAGATTTCTGCCTTACACAGGTTCTGGCTTTTGCAGGTTTCACTGTATATATGTGTGTGTGTATATATATATATTTCCCAGGCCCTACCTCCAGAAATTCAGATTCATCCAGACTGGTGAGGACCAGGAATGTATGTTTTTAACAAATATTTCCAAATGACTGTGATGCTGCTCAGGAGCCAGTGTGAAGGGACCCAAGAGTTCTCAGGCAGATAGATCACCCTTGGGTGCCTGTGGCTTTTGGCATCCAGCCTTGGGAGCCACAAAGAGCGATGGAAAATGGTACCCAGAGGGCACTAGAAGGGTGCTCCTGCTGCTGTCAAGTATCTGCCCCAAACAAGAACTTTGTACAGCCCATTTACCTAGAGCTTAGTGTACATATAGAACTCAAACTTGAGAACCTAGAGGTGAAGACACAGACTTTCAACTGCCTTGAGGTCTTCTTATGTATCAAATAAGGAATATTCTTGTCTCCTACTAGCAAATACTAATGAGATGTGTAGTCTGTAAATCAATGCCAGGTGTTCCGTAAACAGAATTATGTCCTTTCCTTATAAAAGGACATTAGTTTTTCAAGTAAGACTTGGAAAAATGAAAATATCAATAGGGGGAAAAGCAACTAGTTGATAGAACTTTTGATATGTGGCAAAGTGAACAACTTCCCTAAAAAGGTAACTTTTTTTGGTACCCTCTTCTCTCTAATCACAAGCATTATGAGCCATCACAGTGAACATCATCTGATGATGATTATCTATGATGGTGATAATGACAGGTGTCAACGTGTTATGGGATACTAAGTGTCTAAGTGGATAATTCATATCTTATTCAGATGAAAGTGTATAACTCATTACCGCAAATGACAACTGTGTGGTTGTTTAAAGAAAAGATAACTTTGCAATTAAATTTCTGGTGTATTAATAAATAACTACTACTGAGAGAACCGCCCAGTGACCCAATTCACATACTATGGAGTATTTTTGTAGAATCTCAGAATTATGTGAAAGTCAAGTTTTATTTTCCATAGGCTGTGAAGAAACTTATTAATTAGTTGTCACAGGCATCTACACAATCAGTGTGTTACTTTGAATCGTGCTGAAACACTGACTGAAATGGTAACTTCTGTGTCCAGTCACGTTTCTAAACACATTAGGATTTTCTTGAGCTCTGTCATTGCATGAATGTGATGACATGTATGCAAATAGTTTATCATTTTATACTTGATGGTTATTGTTAGTTGCCCCCACACCACAATTGGAGTATCTCTGAGCAAAAGCAGATGACACTGGCAAAATACTGTAATTCTCCACAAACAGGATTAGGGCCAATTTACACATCATCACATAGAAACTGTCTATTGATACAGCTCCAAAAATTTTGTTATGTTTGCTAGACCCTTATGGGTTGTGTTTTGCTCTCAATCTCTTATTTTCTGCTAAATTGTAGAGTTTTGTTTCTTTTTTCATTTACGTTCTCTCAGCATCAAACGGTCCATCAAGGCTAAATTACTCCCTCTCTCTTGAAGCCTTCCCTTAGCTATTTAACTCTCTTTGTCTACCCTGCAAGCCTTTGTCTTGTATGACTCCTCTTTTCATACATTGATTTCACTGTCTAACCTTGTCAATTCAGAATCTAAAAGGGTCCTTCTTAAAAGTAGAGGGGAAACTCCCTTTTTATGACACCAGGAGAGCATTATTTTTGTGGGCTGCCTACACCCTCCCCTCCTCCCACTCTTGTCCCAGAGTACTTTTACTCCAGTCTCCGGACTCCCATCAAAGATACCCAACAACTCCTAATCTAGGTAGGGGGTGCATAATTTAGTTTTATGGATCAGCCATCTCTTCTTTGTTCCTTCCAGGAAATCCCAGGCCAGGTTTCCATTTCATGTGTTCATGGCCTCTATAGCCAGGAGATGCAGTCATTAAACAGAAATGTAATGTTTCATGGTGAGGGAAGAAGACTCCCCTGGATTTCATTTACTTTCTACAGTGAGAATATTGCTCGTAGTTCAACACCAGATGAGAAACTTTTTTATTCGGATAGCCAGCATATTTCTAAGAAGCCCACATAATCCTGTTTTTAGTTACACTATTTAAAATTCATTATTAGGCTCCTGGAACACCTTTACTTTGTTTGTTTTTAATTATTAAATAATCTTTGACTACTTCATCCTTTTCTAAACCCTCCAGTTGCTACTCTGCTGAAAATTAGCCTATATTGTCTATTCCTGCCACATGTCATGTTACTGATTTCTTCCCAGCTTCCAGCCCATGCTAAGATTTTATATACCAAAGCATGGAAACATTTGTAGCCTTAACCCAGTTTTACTATAATTTTAAAATCAGTGTGATGCATTGGAAAGCCTTGGCTTGGGGATTGTGAAATCTTGAGGCTTCTTCTAGCTCAGCTGATAGCTGAATATTTCCTATTGCTTTTGGAACTCAATATGTTGAATAGACTATTGGCAGTTAGAATTATGCCTTGGACTAGATAAATAACTTTTGGCATCCCTGTCAGCACTACAGACTTAGGTGGTTTTCTCATCCCCAGTAATGTGGATATCCTAGGCTTTGAGACATCTAACTATTAATAGAAAGGAAAAAGATGCGGCAGACTACTTCTACAAAGATTTACAGCCTTGAAAGCCCATGGGGCAGCTCTACTCTGTCCTGTAGGGTCGCTGTCAGTTGGAATCGACTTCACAGCAACGAGTTTTGGAAATTGAATGCACAGGTTAAAGACCCACAGCCCAGTAAGGAAACTTTTAACTGTATAACAATCGGAGATGAAAACCAATCATTTTTGCTGGAGAGAACACTCTAAATATTGATATAGTCTTTGTATTTGGAAGCAGGTATATAATAATAACACATTGTATCAAAACGGTGAATTTCAGTACGACAAATTTTTCTCTAGGCAGAGGACAGACTTCTGAACCACATAAGACACTGTGCTTAAGAAGAAATGGAAAAGTATAAATGAGTGTAACACAGAGTATGTGCAAATTGGCATAGATATGTCAAAGGGAGACATTTCAGAGTAAAATTAGGAACAGAGTGACATATGATGGGATCGAGGTTTGGGAATCAAGATGTGTATGTGTGTGTGTATGTTCATGTATGTTCTTACCTCAGTTTTGAGACATCTGTGCTTTGACTAACACACATCAGCATTTCGCTTAGGCATGCATCCAGACGCAGGCCTACCAGGCAAGATCTGTCCTCATTTATCAGACAGATAAAATAAGCATAGCCACTTAGCACAGACAGCTTCTCAAGTCACATGGCAAGGCAGTGGTTGAGTAAGTAATACATCTTCACAGGTTAAAATTACAATTTACTCTTGGCCACATAGGCTCTGTTGCTTCTAAGATTTATCTCAAAAAAATTGTGAGACCTCTTTGTGTGGGAAAATGGAACAGGAAGAACTTGCACTTGGTGTTTTTGGAAAAGTACTAGAAAGATATGACAACTTTTACAATATTTTGATTGTTGACTGAAAGAGACTAATATTAAACAAATAATTTGAAATCTGTGATCATTTAGTTGTCTCTGTTTCTTTTCAGACGGCGCCCAGGCAACATGGGTGACTGGAGTGCCTTAGGCAAACTCCTTGACAAGGTTCAAGCCTATTCCACAGCTGGAGGGAAGGTGTGGCTCTCAGTCCTTTTCATTTTCCGAATCCTGCTACTGGGAACAGCGGTTGAGTCAGCCTGGGGTGATGAGCAGTCTGCCTTTCGCTGTAACACTCAACAACCTGGTTGTGAAAATGTCTGCTATGACAAGTCTTTCCCAATCTCTCATGTGCGCTTCTGGGTCCTGCAGATCATATTTGTATCTGTACCCACACTCTTGTACCTGGCTCATGTGTTCTATGTGATGCGAAAAGAAGAGAAGCTGAACAAGAAAGAGGAGGAACTTAAAGTTGCCCAAACTGATGGTGTCAATGTGGACATGCACTTGAAGCAAATTGAAATAAAGAAGTTTAAGTATGGTATTGAGGAACACGGCAAAGTGAAAATGCGAGGGGGCTTGTTGCGAACCTACATCATCAGTATCCTCTTCAAGTCTATCTTTGAGGTCGCCTTCTTGCTGATCCAGTGGTACATCTATGGGTTCAGCCTGAGTGCAGTGTACACTTGCAAAAGAGATCCCTGCCCACATCAAGTGGATTGCTTCCTCTCTCGCCCCACAGAGAAAACCATCTTCATCATTTTCATGCTGGTAGTATCCTTGGTGTCTCTTGCCTTGAACATAATCGAACTCTTCTACGTCTTCTTCAAGGGTGTTAAGGATCGTGTGAAGGGAAAGAGTGATCCTTACCACACTACTTCTGGTCCACTGAGCCCCTCCAAAGACTGTGGATCTCCAAAATATGCTTATTTCAATGGCTGCTCCTCACCGACTGCTCCCCTCTCACCCATGTCTCCTCCTGGGTACAAGCTGGTTACCGGAGACAGAAATAATTCTTCCTGCCGCAATTACAATAAACAAGCAAGTGAGCAAAACTGGGCTAATTACAGTGCAGAACAAAATCGAATGGGGCAGGCAGGAAGCACCATCTCTAATTCCCATGCACAGCCTTTTGATTTCCCTGATGATAATGAGAATTCCAAAAAGTTAGCTGCTGGGCATGAACTACAGCCACTAGCCACTGTGGAGCGGCCTTCCAGCAGAGCCAGCAGTCGCGCCAGCAGCCGACCTCGGCCTGACGACCTGGAGATCTAGATACAGGCTTGAGAGTGTCAAGATTCCACTCAACTGTGGAGAAGGAAAAAGGTGCTGCAGAAAGTGCACCTGAGGTGTTAATTTTGTTCCAGTAGAAGTGGTACTCAACGGCCTCAGTCATGAGGCTTAGAAAACACAAAGACATTAGAATACCTGGGTTCATTGAGGGTATCTGGGATAGGTGGGTGGAGAGGGAGGGGAAAAGGGAGGTACATGTTGGAATTTAAAGCAGTTGATTCAAAGAACTTAAATTCTCAATAAAAGTTGCTTTAGGTGATATATAGGCAAGGGCTTTTTCTTGTTCATACCTCCCTAGGTTCTGTATATGTAGAAGAGCGGGTGATATCTGTGGCTAAATAATTTTTTTGTTTTATCAAGTAACTGAAATAACTTGGGCCAGGAGAAAATGCTTCCTGAACATCTTATTTCTTTTCAACAAAAAAAAAGACAAGATTGCCCTAAAACGTCCCTGTTAAAACATTCCACTGTTAAAATTTGCACTTTGAAGGTAAACTTTCTAGGCCTGACCCTCCAGGTGTCAATGGACTTGTGCTACTATGTTTTCTATTTCTGGTATCAGATAAAAGTTCAGACAAGGCCCACAGAAAAAGACTTTCCATGCATTTGCAAATCTCAGCCAGTTATGAGTACATTCTATTTTGCATCCACTTGCATCATATCTTTACCATCACTATTTTGTCATCATTCCTCAGCTACTGTTCACATTCATTTAATGATTTCTATAAGAATTTTTAAAACAGTGTGGATGTCACTTAACATTTGGAGTTAGAGTCAGGGAAGCAAGCCATACTCAATAGTTAACAATCACTGGTATGTGTATGTGTGTAGAAGAGTGTGTTTTATTTGTCCTATATTGGTACAAGCAGATGCAGTATAAACTCACAAACACAGATTTGAAAATAATACAGCCACAGTGTTCAAATTTGAACCTTTCTCATGGATTTTGTGGTGTGGGCCAATATGGTGTTTACATTATATAATTCCTGCTGTGCAAGTAAAGCACACACTTTTATTTCCCCCTAAAATGTTTTTTTCCCCATGTGTCCTATTATGGATACTGGTTTTGTTCATTGCAATTCTTTTTTTTTTTTTTCCTTCTTTCTCTCTTTTTAGAATATAGCAGTAATGCTGTTGCTGAAATGAATGATTTTCTTTTTCTGAATTGTAATCATTGATGCTTGAATGATAGAATTTTAGTACTGTAAACAGGCTTTAGTCAGTAATGTGAGAGATTTAGAAGATAAACATAAAGTGGACTATTAAATGTGCCTAAATGAGTTTTGCTGTAACTGGTATTCTTAGGTTTGTCCTACTTAATACACATTAATTCAGAATCTGTATACTATTATGAGATTGACCGTCAGTCTTTTGGAGTGACCAGCAACTTTGATGTTTGCACTAAGATTTTATTTGGAATGCAAGCGAGGTTGAAAGAAGTTTCAGTAGTACACATGTAACTAATTTATTTGAAATATACGCTAAAGAAATCTACCAGTTTCTTCAAGTGCCTTCTTTAAACTCATCACAGATGATCGGTGAAAATGCTGAGTATCATACATTTTTTTTTTTCTTGCACGTCAGCTACATAAAACAGTTTTGTATAGTGAGATACTAATTTGTTTGACATTCCATGTTAAACTACTGTCATGTTCAGCTTCATTGCATGTAATGTAGAACTAGTCCATCATATCATGTGTTGTGTTCTGGAGAGTGTTCTTTATTCAATAAAGTTTTAATTTAGTATAAAGATAACTTTTGTTATTCGGTGTGTTTTTTTTAATCTTTCATTTTATCAATTCTCAGTTATCAAAGACATTTTCTTATGAGTACTTGTACAAGTAAGATGGACATTTTCAGGAATCTTAAAAGGACATCATTTATCATTAGCTAGGTTCTATACAACATTGATTTTTAACTTTTTTTAAAAATATTTTTTCAACTAAGAAAGATACAAGTGTAGAATTTGGAATATAACTTTAATGTGATGTTTGATAGGGTTTAAAGTAATATTAAATAATTTAGTAGACCTACAGACAGAGGAGCCCTGGTGGCGTAGTGGTTAAGAGCTTGGCTGCTAACCAAAAGGTTGGCAGTTTGAATCCACCAGCTTCTCCTTAGAAACCCTATGATGAAGCTCTACTCTGTCCTATAGGGTCGCTGTAAGTCGGAATCGACTCGATGCAATGGGTTTAGTTTTTTTAATACTTGACAGAAGGAGCCCTGGTGATGTAGTGATTAAGTGATAAACTGCTAACTGAAAGGTCAGCAGTTCAAATCCCAGCTTCTCTGCAGGAAAGAGATGTGGCAGTCTGCTTCTGTAAAGATTACAGTCTTGGAAACATGGGGCAGTTCTACTCTGTCCGATAGGGTCCCGTGAGTTGGAACCAACTTACAGCAACAGATTTTTGGTTTGGTATACATGACAGAACTAAGTATAGGGAATTAAGACTTGAAATTGTAAAGTTGTACAGACTCCTGGAGATAAAAGAATAAGAAAAGAGTTGGTTTGAGTATACACTCACTCCTCACTTTTTGGCATGGTTGAGTACCAAAGATCAGGCCATTATGTGAAAATCAGTGTTATCCAGAAATTGAGGATGACCACATCAGATCACAAAAAGGAAGATGACTACATGATTACATAACTGTGAAACCACTGAGAATCATGGCCTAGCAAAGCTGACACATAACTATCACAGCCAGCAGTTCTCACCTCGCACCTTGGCATTCGTTACTGCCAGATGTGCATCGTTAATGTGCAAAATAGTCAGTAGATTTTTTACTATTGTAAATGTGAAGTATCAGATAATGAGATAGGTGATTAAGTGAAGAGTAGGTATACTTACAGCAGCAAAAGAACAGAATACACCTATGATTTTGTGATTCCAAGACATGAAAATGTAGAAAATAAGGTTTAAAATTTTGACACCCCAGGAAAAAATCATTCAAAGGGTGTAAAATAAGTCTGAGTAATATAGTTTTAAATATAAAATATATTATCAACACTTATAAGTTATACCTCAAGAAATTTTTTCAATTCATTAAAATTGCTCACAGACGTTTATTACCACAAAGCAAAAAACTAAATTATTGTTGACAGGTGCCGGTGAGTAGGTTTCAACTCATAGCAACCCTACGTACAACAGAACAAAACACTTCCTGGTCCTGTGCCATTCTCATAGTCATTGTTAATGCTTGAGCCCATTGGTGGAACCACTGCGTCAATCTATTTTATTGAGGATCTTCCTCTCTTTCGCCGACCCTCTACCAAGCATGATGTCCTTCTCCAGGAACTGGTCCCTCCTGACAATATGTCCAAAGTATGTGAAACCAAGTCTTGCCATCCTTGCCTCTAAGGAGCATTCTGGGTGTACTTCTTCCAAGACAGATTTGTTCGTTCTTTTGGCAGTCCATGGTTTATTCAGTATTCTTTGCCAACACTGTAATTCAAAAGCATCAATTCTTCTTCCTTCTTCTTTATTCATTGCCCAGCTTTCACACGAATATGAGGCGTCTGGGAACACCGTGGCTTGGGTCAGGCACATCTTAGTCTTCATGGTGACGTCTTTGCTTTTCAATGCTTTTAAGAGGTCTTTTGAGGCAGATTTTCCCAGTGCAATACGTTGTTTGATTTCCTGACTGCTGCATGCATGGGCGTTGACTGTGGATCCAAGTAAAACGAAATCCTTGACAACTTCAACCTTTTCTCTGTTTATCATGATGTCGCTTATTGGTCCAGTTGCGAGGATTTTTGTTTTCTTTATGTTGAGATGTAATCCATACAGAAGACTGTAGTCTTTGATCTTCATCAGTAAGTGCTTCAAGTCCTCTTCACTTGCAGCAAGCAAGTTTGTGTCATCTGCATAATGCAGGTTATTGAGTCTTCCTCCAATCCTGATGCCCCCTTCTTTTTCGTATAGTCCAGTTTCTCCAATTATTTGCTCAACATACAGATTGAATAATTATGGTGAAAGGATACAACCCTGACACACACGTTTCCTGACTTTAAACTACGCAGTATCCACTTGTTCTGTCTGAACGACCGCCTCTTGGTCTAAGTATAGGTTCCTCATGAGCACAATTAAGTATTCTGGATTTCCCACTCTTCACAATGTTATCCATAATTTGTTATGATGCACACAGTTGAATGCTTTTGAATAGTCAATGAAACACAGATAAACTAAATTATTAGAGCATAAAAATATTAGTAATCTAGAAATAATCGAGTCTAGTACAGTTACTGCTTTCTAGGGGTGAAGGGAGAGTGCACAGTTTATGTAATTTGCCTAAAATCAAGGGATTATCTAATCTGTTTCCCAGTTGATGGATGTAATTGGTAGTGTCAATATATCAAATATTATTTGACTAGTTGAGAATCAGATGGGAGAAGCAAGTTTTCTCTCTGTGTATACATGTCTATATATGTATAATTTACCATGGAAAATGGAGAAACTGATCATTTGTTTGAGTGTATGTCTTTGTGTATCGTGTACAAGCAGGATGCGTAGGCTGGGATTAAACTACTAAATAAATTTCTGGTGTGTGTGTTTGGGGTGGGGGGGCAAGTTCTTCTTTCAGAAATAGCCATGTAGTTCATCCTAAACATTTCCCAACCTAGGAGCTTTTCACTATTTAAAAAAGTTTAAGCATATTATGCATGTGCATAGTTGGAAAAAAAAAAAAAAAACTAACAGTTATAAAAAGGAAATTCAAACCTCTCACTTCTCTCCCCGCTCCCCAACATACACGCCAAAACCTCTTGCCATGGAGTCAATTCCAACTCATAGTGACCCTATAAGACGAGTAGAACTGTCCTATAGGCTTTTCAAGGCTGTAATGTTTACAGAAGCAGACTACTACATCTTCCTCCCGCAGGGCAGCTGGTGGGTTCAAAGCGTTGACCTTTCAGTTAGCAGCCAAGCACTTAACCACTGCACCACCAAGGCTCCAACATACACACCAGAGAAGTCCTAATTCCGAGAAGAAAGCACTGATAAAAACTAACCTTGTATCAAGCACTGTTTTCAGTAGTGGAGATTCAAAGAATGGACACCTATTTCCTGCCCTATGAAACCTGCAATATAAAACCTTCCAGAATTTTAAAAAATGATCCTTTCTTCATTTTGCTTTTCTTAATTGGCTCCTTGCTTTCACCTTCTAACAAATTGAATTGTGTTTTAAAATTGATGAGAAAAGATGCAGTTTTATTCCACAAATATTTATTACACTCCCCATATATATTTTGCATAAATTTTCATGTTTTAAAAATATTGGAAAATTTTACATCTTCTAGAAGCAGTTCTGTCCAATAGAAGTTTTAGTGGTGCTGGAAATGTTTTATTGTGTTCAACATGTACTGGCTACAGAGCACTTGAGATATGGCTAATGTGACTGAAGAAGTGAATTATCTTTTAT